AAAAAACAGCTATACTAAGCCGTAAAAGTAAGCACTATCACTAGTTGTTGAAACGTTTGGGTATTTTCGGGTATAACGATTGGTTGAATAATGGGTAAGGGTAAATTCGGAAGCAAATTTTCAGGAAAACGGCCTTTTTAACTTACTTTCGGCTAATAATCAAACATTTAGATATTAAAATATTCTATACGCTTTATTACATGTATTATGGATTCGAAGTAAGTTTAAAAGTCCGTTTTTGTAAGAACTCGCTTTATAATTTTGGGGTCAGACCAAATCGGTGGATATACGTGTTCAAAAATAAACCGTTGAACTATCATTTGACATTACACACTCTCTGATTGGTTGAACGTAGGCTCCAGATCACATGAAGAAAAAATTTGGGCTAGATACCAAGATTTGAAAATTTTAAAATCAGAGGCCAAAATTTGGATGACAGTCTCTGCCTTCGCTCTGTAGTATAATTTTTACACGGTTCAATGGACGATGGTATATTTTGTCTTCTAAGTCAATTAGGGGGAGGATTCTTTTGCACTGTGAATATTAACGTTCATTTAAAGCTTTGGAGTGGCTCTTTAGTAAAATTTTTACATACGTATGTACGTACATATGTTACTGTATGTATCAGGTATATAACAGATAACAGATAATGGTAACAGATAAATAAGTTACCCTTGAAATTGAATCCAACATGAATAAACAAAGTTAGTAAACGATGAATAACATATTGGATTTTATGTAGGTTCAAGTTCCAAATATTAAAACAATAAATGTTTCATCACATTTTTAAGAAAAATATTTTTGGTTCCATTTACATCTCTATTAAGTTTCAAATCACAATGTTTACAATTGAAAACTCAAGAACTTTCCAATTTATCATTGATTATCTCACATTGAGTGCAGGTTTTTGAAGTATTTTTTTTAGTACAGATGATCACCCTATTATTTGAATATTCTCAAGACTTGTGAATGAGAAATTGTTAGAATTGATAATGGGACCAAGTTAATAATTTTTTGGCCATTTTTCTGTTGATCTTTTTTTTTTTCTTGTTTACCTATTTCTTGGCTCTCAAATTTTAGTAAAAAGATGGTTAAATAATTGGCACAGAGATATTTTGCCAGCTTATGATGGTACTCATTGACGAGATTATGAATCTTTTGAATGATTCAATACATCTTTTTTTGAAGTTTGAATCTCTTTCGTTTGTTAATTTTTACCAAGGCCTGCTCTTTATCAGATTGGTACTTATCGTATTTTATACAAAGTCATGATATTTTATCGATATCGTTAACACCATAATGAAAAACTTGACTCGAAGGATCGTATCCTGTTATAAATGTATGAACACCAGGATCAAGAGCGACGATTCCTTTTTTTGATTTACGTTTGCTAATAGAAACCAGGATGAAGAAATACCATTCTCCCAATTTGTTGTGCATGATCTTGAAGTCTTGTTTGATCTTTGAAAGCAGTTTACTAGTGATGATGTCTTTGAGGAAAGAACAAACACCAGATTTATTAAAATCTCTGTGAAGAATTAGGATTGTTTGTTTAAACATTCTCTTTTTGAATTTGAATTTCATTTCAAACTTAATCTTTTTAGTTTTAAAGATCTTGATACAAGTCTTGTAATTTTTAAGGAATTCTATAACAACAGACCCATGAGTATCGTACAGTAAATCCAGAACCCAATGTAATTCGGTATTCTTGTAATTCTCATTCTTTACAATTAAACTTCTAAGAGATTGAAGGATTAGATCACAAACACCTTTATTAATATAATCCAAATATCGATTATAGATGAATCTACAAGTATTTGACCATTCTGTAAAGATTTTTCTTTCCTTTTCAGTTGAATAAAATCATATCTTTCTTGTCTTGGTCTCTTCTGTTTCTTTTTCTTTACCGAATCATTTGACGTTTTTTTGACTTTGATTTTTTCGAGTTCAATATCTTTCAAAAATAAAATATCCTTTTCATACAAAATTCTTTCTTCAATAATCTTGAACCATGAGCTTGCATGTGTTTCGGACTCTAAATAATTTGGATTACATTCCTCGATGATGTTAGGATCATTTGGTAACCAAGAGTCAATGGAGATAGTTTTACAATAATTATCCCAGAAAGGTTTTAAAGATTTTTCTTTATTTTCAGAATTTCTTTTGCATTTCATAAGGAACTTAAACCATCGGAAGATATGAAAAACAGACTTATTTATAATTAATAAGGAATGTTGATCAATCAGATAACATACAGAAGATCAACAATTAACGAATTATAAACACCTCAACATTATCTTATTTAAACATATGAAAATTGGACTTATTTATATCTGATAAAGAATATTGGGTAATATTACGTTATAACCAATGCTTACCCAATATTCTTTATCATTATTAATTAAAATAAATATGTTATACTTACTATAATAAATTGAGATAGAAAAATCAATAAATTGAAATTTTAAGGGTTTGGGTCCCATAGCTTAGTGGTTAAGCTCTTAAACCCTCACAGACAAGGTCAATGGTTCAAGTCAGGCTGAAAGCAAATTATTTAATTTGTTTCTGTAACCTTAGGGGGACCATAATTGAATGCGAAACCCTGTGGTTAAGTCCAAGTGTAAGTATAATTCTGGGCTAGGAATTCCTGAAAGGAGACCCAAATGTGGAGGGTAGACACTATGTGTAACTGCAGTGTTACAGAAGACTGTGGTTATGAAGATTGCACAAGTAAGTTCTTTGAGATGAAGCAGCATCAACATCCTTGTATCTCCAGTTTAGGCAATATCAACATCCTTATATTCAACTTGTGGGGTACTTGCTTGGAAGGGTAGTCAATAAACTGCGTGAATTAGTCCTTATTTGGATTGAAGATACAAGTACTTGATTGGGAGGGTGATTATCGTTACCAAAGTTGGAGTAGTGAGAAAAGTGATGAATACGTGGACGGACTGTGATAAAGGATTGACCTTACCAGAAGCAGAAGCACCTCTGGCAGTGCAGAATAGAAATACTATAGAAAGGCAAGAATATGGAGGTTGTCTAACATTCTAAGTATATATAAAAGTACCGAATCGAGATCTACCAACCTCTGGGATTTACAATTCAAATAGTAGTATAGCATCACTGAGGTCAGTGTAACTCTCTGAATATAACTGGAATTATCCTGGTCTTATATAACAACATGTTGGAAGCAAGTATAATATGGTAGTATGACGTTATTGGGGTTGGTGTAACTCCTTAGATACAACCAGAATTGTTCTGTATACCTGTGAAATAAGTCCTAAACCCCATCATAGCAGGTAATACTTAATAGAATAGAGAAATACATTGAGCAACTATATAATATTAAAACCTGGAGCATCTGTGGTTAACCTGTGGCAGCAGAAGCTGGCTTGAGATACGGGTTAGTAATACCTGAGCAGAAATGTGAAAGGAAATACCTGTCAATAAAATACCAACTCTGTCATGTAGTAAACCTAACTAGGCAGCAGTTTCTGGCTTAAGATGCAGATCCTAAACCTTTGTCAGAATTTTCTTAGGAGTACTAATAACATGGCACACCAAACTGGAAGATCATCAGGATTTATAACCCAAATGTTACCAATTTGAGAGTTATATAGTAGCGAAAAGATAGGTGATGCAAGAACATAGTCTAGCTAGATATAGTAATTTCAGAATACAGGAGTAGTATCAGATATAGGTCTGATTCTCCCCACCAGAGGGTGGTTTAATGGCAATGTCTCTCTAGAGTGGGAGATACCCTGACTGCTAGTGTTGGTTTCGGCCATAGCATGCTGGTGGTGCAACTAGGATATATTTAGGCACCTATTAGGACAGCCGGATAAAGGTCAGATCGCTGGTTGGGTTAGCATAGCCTAGTAATAGGTTGTAATATAGTTCAAAAATTATGTATGTATCTACGGATAGATCTAATAA